AGCTAATGTAAATAAATAAAGTTTCTTAATAAGTCTTAAACTATATTGTTTTTTCATCGAAGGTAACTTAAATTTAATAGAGGAAATTCCAGTCTTTTTTCAGCAAAAGTACTTGAGAAAATTTCTTAGTCACACGTTTTTGAGCTTTCATTGTTCCCGTAAGGTACAAGAACAAGCATACCATTTAAGTCTACGAGAATTATAAATAATAAGCATAAAATAAAAAAGGAAAAATTTTTTTTTAACGAATACCTTTTTTATAAAAAGAATGATTTAATAATATTAGACAACAAATCTTTTTCTTTTCATTCTTTTGAGGTCAAATTTTATTTAAAACAATAAATTTAGAAATTAAGAAATTTTTTCTGCCCTCCAGCTTGAAAGCTCCAACTTCCTAGCTACTGCTCAAAAAACATAGTCATTTTCCGATACCATCAAGCAGAAAAATAGTATAGGTACACATCATGGCTAGATATAAAGAAACCATAGATCATCCATTTATTATCAATGTACAGAAAATCTAAGACTATCCTTACTTTTCTATCCTAGGTATTTAAGGACATTCGGTAGAGATAGCAGGGGAAGCAAGGAGGAAGTAGCGATGAGTGAAGACTTGGCATCGCCGCACGGGTCTTCAATGTGTGAGTGTTCATGTACACACATATTTTACACATCAGTACACTCTGCAGTGTCTGCATCTGCACTGTCTGCTGCGTCGGTTATGGCAGCATTTGTGTATATTTGTAACATATTTGTGCTAAAGATATAAGTATTTGATTTTTATTCGTTATAACAATGTAATGAAAATAAGTAAATAATTAAAAAGACTTGTGACAGATATACGTACATACAATCATATTCGTAGCTAATGCAAATAAAATTCTTGAATTTTTATGTGACTTAAAAAGTCTCATTAAAAGTGATATGTTAGATAATTAGGACAGACTCTAATCTCAGCGATTTCTACAAGCCTGTGATTTTGTTATCTTGTAAACGATGTTTATTGAAGTGTTATGAAAAAATATACAGATGTTTGCTTGATGATATGCTAAAGATGTTAGTATTTGATTTTTATTCGTTATAACAATGAAATGAAAATGAGTAAATAATTAAAAAGACTTGTGACAGATGTACGTACATACAGTTATATTCGTAGCTAATGTAAATAAATAAAGTTTCTTAATAAGTCTTAAACTATATTGTTTTTTCATCGAAGGTAACTTAAATTTAATAGAGGAAATTCCAGTCTTTTTTCAGCAAAAGTACTTGAGAAAATTTCTTAGTCACACGTTTTTGAGCTTTCATTGTTCCCGTAAGGTACAAGAACAAGCATACCATTTAAGTCTACGAGAATTATGAATAGTAAGCATAGAATAAAAAAGGAAAAATTTTGTTTTTAACGACTTTTTTTATAAAAAGAATAATTTAATATTATTAGACAACCAATATTTTTTTTTAATTCTTTTGAGGTCAAATTTTGTTTAAAACAATAAATTTAGAAATTAAGAAATTTTTTCTGCCCTCCAGCTNCGGCCGACGGACCGCCCGTGGGTCCTGGGCCAGCACCGCCGCCGGACATGCTGTTCGGGGTCGGGGTGCTCGATGGACAGGGGTCGCCCGCCCCGAAAGGGCTCCCCAGGTCCGTGAAGTTGAGCGTCGTCGTGGCGCCCCGAAGATCCACCGTAGACGCGACCGAGTCGCAGTCGGGCCTTCGCAGCCGCCGCCGCCTCGCCTCCGCCTCTCGGTCCCGAGGGGCCAGTCTCCCTCCGGTGCTCCCCGGGCCAACGTAGCCCACCGTCGCGTGCGACAATCAACGCACCGCGCACCAACGGTCGACCCACAAACTCTACACCGGCTGTACCAAGACGACGACAACAATCACTAGGCAATATTTCGGAGCATCGTTGTCACCTTCCTATACCAATCGGGTAAATCGGAGCTCTCGAGTCGTACCCCAGGTGTCTCTTGCACTGTACTGATTATTTTTTTATTATTACCTTACTATCACAAAAATCGAGGCTCCAGCACTATTTATTGTCTACAAATAATAACAACAACAGCAACAACTATAACAACAGCAACATCGAAACAACAATAACAACAGTATTCGAGGAATCCGGGTCAGCTCTTTGTCACAGCGTCGAGTCGCTGTCGACTCTCTCGTCGCACGATCCGCATCTTACAACTTTGGGTCCAGCTGACGCCAGTCTACACTTTTTTTTGCAACGATGGTCCCTCCGGAGCTCGTCGAAGCACACACCCACACTAGATGATGCACATACACGCACATGCACTTGCAGTGAACGACGTATTATTAATGATTACTTATTGACACCGTTTGTCAGTATAGTAATGGAAACAAAATCCCACCTCGGGTTGGGAGATCAGGATACTACCGTCGCACCGATGGCCCGCACTTACCGGAGGAGGGGGCAGATCGTACAGCCTCCCGAACGAGTTCATGTGTTCCGGGAGCACCGAACCGACGGCGCCGATGATTACACAAGGTTGTAACAGTCGATGGGTGCCACTTTTGTTTCGAGGTTGGCTCACGCACGTGTGTAACGAATATTTAGAGATAGAAAAAAAAAACAACAAAAAAGTAAATCCGAGAACAGCTACGCCGTAGTATTATTGATAAGAGCGTTTGAACGAGCACGCGCGCCTCGCCCAAGAGTTGTTAAGCTGCCAACAACAATAACAACACAACACCACCATGGACACAACGGGAGAGTGCACACCGCGCGGCGTGAACCGGTATAATGACACATAATGAAGCCCGAGTCTCTCCCCGAGCCCGCAGCCCGGCAGTTTGCCCGACCAGCCACATCGAGGCGCTCCGGTCGCGACCGCCCACCCCGTCACCCGGATTGGCTGGCGCGCGGCTATCCCTCCCTCGACGCCCGTCACCGGCGCTCGCCCATTCGCCGACACCGCGATATTATGGTGTCCGAGGGGCGGCGGCCAAACCCAGCCCACCTGCCCCCCTCCCGGAGACCCGAGTAACGTGTATAGGTGTGTGTCGAAGATACATCAAATCCCGATGCTGCGGCCCCGAGAGCGCGCGCGCGCGCGCCACTGGCTCCGTTCGCGCGTCGCCGGGGGGTTCGTGGCTCCCATCCCCCTCGTCTTCCTCTCTCGCGCGGCACGGCGAGTTTTCGCAGTCTTCGAGCTTCTTGCCATCCCTTTCAGCCCTTACGTCTAGTATACTTTAATTTTCCTCCTCCCCCCTCTCGGTGTAGGTCGTGGGTCCATACAATGTATTCTGTCATTGTACACCCATTTTCGCGCAGTGCAACTCTGCTCAGCCGAGATTCACTCTAAAATAATATTCTTCTGCCGCTGCTGCTGTTATTGGTACACATGCTTGATGTATATTCACGTGATTGCTGTTATTATCGATTCAAACGCGTATAATTTTATTTTCACACCCCTTCCATCGCTGCAAAATTATATACATGATCCGGTCAACGTACGTATATGCGGTGACATCAATATAAGTATAATAAAAAAAATTACGTGTTTTGTACATAAATACATAATGTAACAGTAGAGATTAAGAAAAATAATGTATAATATGTGTTCAAATAAATAATAATATGTGTTATTATAATACATTGTTTTGTTAAGGGTACGGGTGGAACCTATGTACACACACTTACACACATATATACGCTTATGTTTTATACAGAAATACATAAATATCTACCACAATATTTAAATATTTACTGATTTAAGTCCTGGAACATTTTTAATTTCCCGCTTCTTGCGACGTTGCCGTTGCGTTTCGTCGCGCTATTATTTAATTTTTTTATTTATAAACTAATCAGACGATCGTCGCGAAACTTTGTGAACATATAGTAAATAACATTATCTGTGACATATAAAAAAATTGGAGACATTCATCACGCCAATTTTTTTTAAACTGGGTTTTTATAAACTTTCCCATAAGCGATCGTGTTAAAATGACTGAGCTTTGAAATTCACAGGATCCTATCCCTACCGAACTTCCTTAATGTACTATATTAACGACCACTGAATTAATATGCTTTTTTACAATATTTCCTAACTTTGCCATGCTAAGAACATAATTTTTTTGTAATATTATCACAAAACTAGAAGCTCAGAACCTGAAAAAATACAAACCTCTTTCTTTAATACTAGAGACCAATTTTAATGTATCTTAGAACATTTTTAAATAATAAATTGTGTGCTATTCTTCGGGGAAATAAAATAATGTACCGTTTTTATCTTTGAGCACAGTATCTTCCAAAACTCCAGATCATGATAAAAATTGCACAAACCAGCAGTACTACTACTGTTTATACCAAAAAAAATCATAGATAACTATTTACTATCCGCATTCGATCTCTTTATATAATTTTGTACTTTATTAGAATGGGAATCTATAACGCTGATTTTTTCAAGAATTTTCTCAAGAGTTTTCATCCTTATTTGAGCTATTCTTGGATATTAATATCAAATAACTTTTTTGCGACCACTATTACACTTTTTCAAAAATTAAACAGCATTTTTGTAAATGCACGGTAATAGGGCAGACCACGGAAATATGTACACTTACCCCTATGAAAACATGGGATGAGAAATAATAGGGTCGAGGATTGACACAGGGGTGTTAGAATATACTAAAACCAACACCGTCAACACATGGGTAAGAAAAAAAGTATAACAGTATAAATACGTAAAATAAAAAATATCAGTGTATGTAGCTACTTAAATTTAAGGAGTTGAAGCATGTAGGGTCATGGTTATCCATGACACTATATCCAAACAGTTCTTAACCCATTCTTTGTTGTTGGTGAAAATCTTCTGCAACTGTTTCACATCTCTTTGTATAATAAAATGTAATTGTGAGTAGGTACGTAAATATAACTATTTCATGTGTAGTCAATCTCAAAAAATTGAAATCATTACCTCACGCTTCTCATCTTTTACATTTAAATTATAGTCACTTTATTGCCTTAAACTTTCATCAATGTTAAGATAATGCTTCTTTTTTTCATTTTGATTGTGTCTTATACCTAAAATACAATAACTGTTTTTTCATTTCATAATACTCTGCCTTGAATACTGCAGCTCTCAATTTGTATTCAAGTACGGTGAGTTTTTGTAGCCTTAAACTTTCATCAATGTTAATATAATGCTTTTTTTTTCATTTTGATTGCGTCTAATTCCTTAAATACAATAATGTGTTGAAAAAATTAATGTGTTTATAATGTAACCCTACAGAAACTTAGAATATCTTCTATGCATTAACTATGTTAAAGTAGCATATAAATATATCAAAAAATGTATTTCTTTTCATNCCTACCTTGTATACTTGTACCATGCCTATATCGTTGCTACAAAGTAATAGAGCGGTATATATCTGTATTGCTGAAAAGTAGTAGGAGGTGCTACAAATGTCAGAGACAAACAGCACACCACGTCACTATGAAAAAAAATTAAAAAATTAAAGTGGACTTTTTGAGCAAGATCTTCACAGATTTTCCATACTTCCGTATAGTGGCTTACTGTTATTTCTTGTGAAACCTCAAGTTATTCATTTTTGTATAAAATGGATATGTTTATATTATTAAAGATAGGATGTAGGTTAAAAAAAATCAAAAATAAGTAAACAACGGTTTTTTGCATTCTTGGACATGATTTAACTTCAACAATTTAAAAAAAAATTCTTTGGAATAGTAATGTTAAACTGTATACGTACAAATTTTTCCAGATTTTTTTGATAGTTAAAAAGAGAGAAAAAAAAACGACGTTAAAAAGTGTTATGATTTAAGTCTGTTAGAGTCAAAATACAATTACAAATCCATGGTTGAAAATCGTAGAATAATGATTGTACCTCATTCAAACTGACCTTAGTAGTGACGAAGAAAAGGAGAGTCTTAAAATTATACAATTTTACTTTGCATATCGTCTTTCAAAAGTAATTATGGTTATTAGCAAAAGACAACAAACTCAAAAATTTTTAATTTGACTTTTAAAATTATATTTAAAGGTACATCGGGGTAGCTATTTACAACTCTTTGGTGAGAAATTGTTTCAAAAAAAGTTTTACGTTATTGAAACCAGTTCTTGGTGGACAGAATGAAAATATATTTTATACTAAAATTTTGACTTCGTTGATTAATTTTTAAAAGTAAACAGATTAAACAGTTATGAATCCAAGGTTGAGAATTACTTGAGAGTAGTTGCACCTTATCAAAACCTGTCCTAAAAATTACAAAAATTAAAAAATTCTCAAAATTTTGAGTTTCATTTTAGAAGTTGTCTATTAAAAATCATTAGGATTAAAAGACAAACGTCTACGGTCAAAAATTGTATTAGGGTGGCTGCACCACATAACCACCCTCACAAATAACAGAAATATAGGGGTAAGTGTACCTATCTCCGTGCTCTGTCCTATTACCGTAGATTTTAAAAAACTGATGATTACTTGCTCAAAATGAGAAATGTTTCATATAAAATAATTTTTCAATTTTAATAATCTAAAATGATGTTAATGTAGATGCAATTCAAACAGAAATATTTGTGTATATTTCGAGTAAATAATTATTTTCCACGGTATTCGGTACAACGCGCTTATTAACTGATTGTGTACGTATTTACGCGGTGAGCGTACGTAAACATAACCCTATAACATATCCGCGGTAATACGTACACGGTAATAGGTACACAACCACGGTAATACCAGCATACCGTTTTTATTCGTTTTAAAAATATTCTACTGCAGTTTTAGCTTCATAACATTTTTTTTGATATTCCGTAAGAGATTATGTAAGATTTAAAAAAAAAATTATTCCAAAAAATTTTAGTATACCATTTCTTATGGTGCATTTAAGTTGGAATTTTCAGTACGTGCCACGGAGATAGGTACACTTACCCTAGCATCCCTTAAAATTCAAAGTTTTATCTTCGAAATCCTTTCTTGGTAAATAATAAATCCATTGATTTAGAATCAGCAGTAAAATATTGTTTAGGAGTTATTGTGATTCATTGAAACTACCTGTAGGTACGACAGAAAAAAATAAAATTAAGAAATTTCAAATTTGCCATCGAAAATTATTTCTTTGAAAATATTTGGGTTACCAACTATGTGGTCCAAAATCCTATCAGGGTGCTTACATTAAAACTACTTTCAAAAATGACAAAAGAAGGTAAACTCCGAAAATTTCAAATCTTACATTTAAAAATACTTTACAAAAAAATTAAGGGGCACTGATAACGACCCTATAGTGTCGTGTAAGAGTGATTGCACGTTATAAGAGCCACCCTTAGAAATTACAAAAGTAAAAAAATTTTTTTAAATGATATATTTAACCTTGAGAACTGGTTGCAAGAATTAGGGTTATTAAATACGAGTCTGTGGTCCAGTATTATTTCAGGATATTTGCAATACTTCAAATTCACACTTAGAAATGATGAAAATAGTAAGACTTGCAAAATTTTAAACTTTTATTTGGAAATTTTCTCTTGCGAGACAATCGGGTTACATATTATAAGTTTGTGGTCAGACACGGCGTAAGAATGGTAGCACTTTTTTAAAAGAACTTCTGGAAGGGATAGATATACAAAAATTTTTTTCAATTCAAAATATAACGATAGAAATTGTCTTACAGAGAAGACTAAGGTTGGTAATTACAAGTTCGCACTCAAAAATCGTATTAGGATGCTTTACACGACATTAAAATCACCTCTGTAAATAAAAAAAATAAGAAAACTCTCAAAATTTACAAGTTTAACTTAGAAATTATGAAAAAATAAATTGTAGTAGCTGATTATACAGTAAATAGTTGTCTAAGAGCGATTGGACCTTATTAAAATCATGCCAAAGATTGACATAAAAAAACGTTTGAATATCAAAATTGTATTGTAAAAATCATCTTATAAAGATTATTTAAGTTACTGATTAAAAATTTGCTGTTAAAAGTTATGTGAAAAAGGTCATTTCTTATTAGAACCACCCTTCAGAGAGAAAGAAATTTGGAAGAGAACAGAGACAGAAATGGGAAAACTATAAAAATTTAAAACTTAACGTTTTACATCATCTTCTTACAGATTATAGGGTTTCTGATTACGAATTTGAGGTAAAAAATTATAAAAGACTGAATGCACCTCATTAAAATCACACTTAGGAGTTCAAGCAATCTAAAAGTTTTAAAAATCTTACATTTCTCTTTAGTAGTTGTCTTTTTAAAATGGTTAGAGTAAATGGATACAACTCCTTGCTCAAAATGTCTGTAAGGGTGATTGCACTACATAAAAATCATCCTTTACAATAACAGAAATGAACAAACTTATAATCACTTATCACAAATCATTGGAAATTATTTTCAAGGACATATAGAGATTGCTAACTATAAGTTTTCGGTTTTAAATGTTTCGCAGAAATAGAAAACATTTGAGTATTAAAAATTTTATCCGAAAAATTATCACATATGGACTACTGTGGCCGCTTATTGCAAATTCACGTTTTAAAATCGTCTAAGGCATACGGTGATTTAATAAAACCAACCTTCAGAGAGACAGAAATGAAAAAGTTTAGGAAATTTAAAATTTGATCTTTGAAATCCTCTTTTAGAGATACTAAAGATCAATGATTTAAAAATCTGCTGTCAAATGTCATGTAAGGACAGTAGCACATTATTTAAACCACTTCTAGGAGTAACAAGGACAAAGAAACATTCAAAATTAAAAATTAGAGTTTGAAAATCGTCTTTTAGAAAATACTTGAATTGCTGATTATAAGTCAGCGTTTAACAACTATAAAGAGGTAATTGTACTCTATTAGAACCACTTATCTCAAAGACAGGAACTCATAAATAATTTAATTTAAAATTTTTCTTCAAAAATCGTTAAATAGTCAAATCATAAGATTTTAAATTTCAAGACCTTTTCAGTTTGTTACTTCTAGGGGTGGTTTCAATAAAAAAAAATTACCCTGTTACGATTTTTGATCATGTATATATAATTAGTGACATCACTTGTTTCCGTAAAATAGTTTCTAAGGTTAAACTCTGAATTTTAGAAATTTCCCTTTTTTTGTTACTCCTAGAAGTGGTTTTAGTGAGGTGCAACAACCTGAACACAATTTTCGACTGTAGACTTGTAATCAGCGATATCAATATCTCCCAAGTGATAACTTCTAAGGTAAAATATTTTTTTTTAAAAGTTTCTTTATTTCATAATAATCAACACTAAAAACTCTCAAGAGACCGTTCCAAGATAAATTTTCAATTTTGAAAATTTTCTTCAATTTTAACTATTAGTAATGAATTTGCAGTGATGAAAAAACTACCTCGGTTTGTTCATCCTTTATCGTAGATTAATGAAAAGTAGTGATAAATGTTTGTTATTAAAAGCCTTATCTTTTTGCGACACGTTTCTTGCTAATCCATCAGGTCCAGAGTCAATTCTACGACTAACAACCGTCAACTTTGGAGCTTATCTGTCGACGGTACCTTTTCTACACGATATCTTAGCAAGCGTCACTATAATTTCAGCATCGAGAGGTAGGTGTTACGTCATCCATAGTGATGCTACCTAAGGGCTTTGCCTATTCATCTTGTCTAACTAGAGCTGCACTAGGATTGCCAACCCAAATACACTTCTAGGTGTTAAAGGTAACCTCAGATCTACGTCACCCACTGCCATCTCATCAACAGTTATCGGTATTCAGCCTTGCAATACTTGATAAATTTATTTTTTCACTTAAATAAGTAAGAAATTTGAGATAACATGCTTATAAAATCTAACTTGTTACAAGCACTATAACGTTAATACTGAAAAACAGGAAGAAATAGCACTGATTCCAAAAGATAATAAGTGCCATGTGCTACTAAGCTCTACAGATACACTGCCTTAGGGGCAAAAACTAATAATGGATAAAAAGAATGAAGCATTCCTCAAAATCCTACTGTAGCTAGACAAAAAATTGAAAGAAAAAGATAGAGAGCGACAGCCACTGGAGGTAGGAGATGTTGGAGTGGGGGAAGCTCCTGAAGAGAGAATATCTCCATAT